AGGTCTATATTTAAAATGAACATTTACCACAAATTAAAAGTATCTTATATTATTAGATATGTTATTATAAAACATGCTTTAGTTAAGGAGTTATTGATATTTTAAGTGTAAAATGATGATATAAAACTTTGATAAAATATTACAAAATGTTTCAAATTTTTTAGGATATCACAAGTTATCGGGTTTTTGATTGTCAATACCATTTGTCACCCCTCATAAAAGGCTAATCCATATTCATTATGATTATTTTAGCATGCATCATCATTCATTATTGTATTTTTAACTTGTTTTTTTATAGGGAGATAAGGTGAAATAAAGTTTCCATTATAATCCATTTTCCTTGAACTCTGTAACATGAAAAAGTTAAAAAGCAAATAGAGCACAAAAAAATAGCCTATTAAAAATTAATCCTCATAAAAAGTTTGACGATTTAAGGAAAAAGGTAGCAAAACTTCCAAGTCTACTCAAGAAAGCATTACAAGTCATCCCTGTAAAGAAAATTACACTTGGGAGAAATCAAGAGCATACTGAAGACCAATATTTTCTCATTAGGTAGTTTACATACCAAGTACAAGTAGTGCCTTTTACTTTTGCCCTATAAAGCCAAGAAGTAAATGATAACCCTATAAGGCTTTAATATGCTTAAAAGCTTCAAGAAACTAATTAGATTGAAGCAAACTATGCCCCTTTAATGTCTCAATATGCTCAAGTGCCTCGAACAGCTGATTTGATAGATGAAAAGCTAAAAAAGACAATGAATTAGACTATAAGTAATGTGCAAGAGATGTTTAGAATGGAATAAAAGTTACACAATGAGGATTTGAATTCTCAAGAGTTGGGAGCAAAGAAGAGGAAATTAGTCCTGATTAAATTAGTCAAAAAAAGGATATTGCAATCGTAAGAAAAGAAAGAGATAACCTACTAACCTAAATGCAACAAGAGTATGTTTTCCAAAAATTATAAGAAAGTTTCAGAAAATTATCAGATGTTGAGAAAGAGAAAGATCTCAAAATAAAAGAAATAACTCAATTATAACTATGAGTCTAGAAAAAAAATCAAAAAGAATAAACAATCAGAAGTTGCTCCGTTTTTGAATTAACAATAATAGATTAATTGAAAGTCCTTGATAAGGTGGAAGGGTTAGGGTTACTACATTAGAAATTCCATAATAAAACTTGTTAGAGACTACTTTCACACATGCTTTATATATATATATATGTATGTATAAACTCCTCAAATGAGTGTTTAGATTGGGGATTTAGTGCTGAATCTACTTTTAAAAAGCTAACAATACTTCATGTACCTGAATTTATCTCCTAGGGTTATGACCCAGCTTAGGGTTAATAAACTCCTCAAATGAGTGTTTAGATTGGGGATTCAGTGCTGAATCTACTTTTAAAAAGGTAACAATACTTCATGTACCTGAATTTATCTCCTAGGGTTCTAACCCAGCTTAGGGTTAATAAAGTGGACATATAAAACTTTGCATGAATGACATTCAATTATAAATTACATTGGTATTTTCATAATAAAAAGTTTTTTTATTAAAGAACAAATCAAAAAATTATCAGAAAACATCTTAGATTATCCTTTATACTCCAATGAGCTTATTGAGATACTAAAGACCTTAGCAGATCTAGTTGAAAAGGTTATAAGAGTTGTTTATATTGATAGCAATTCTTTAATTGATATCATAAGAAAGGTGTTTAAAGGTTCACTTGAACCATTGATTAGCCTACAAATGTTGAAAGTACATCTAATGATAGAGTTGTAATAATAATAATAATAATAATAAAAAATATTTCAATAATGATGAAAGCATCTTATTACTTTGGACTTCTGAATGCTCAAGATATTGAAGGGTCAGACCACATTCAGTTATATTCGAATTCATATAATGGAAACAATTCAACTTTGCTCCCATTCAGGTGCACGTACACATAAAGCGGCATTTGATGAAGGAATTGCCAGAAACAGATGATAGTGTTGCACAGTGGTGTAAAGATATTTTTGTGGCCAAGGTGTGTATACCTATTTCACTTGTTTTGTTCAGTGCTGCTCCTTTCTGTTTTTGCTATTATATCCATATGAAACATTAAAATGTAAGGAAAATGATTGTAGACTTTACAAAGTTATTTGTTCTTGAGGCTGGTGTTCAACTCATTTATATGGTGGCATCTATTTGCATTGTTGTTGCTTGTCGCACCTCATTGCCTCCATTTGTAATACCAGGATGCATTACTGGACAAGCATATGGCTAATGACACCTTCAGTGCCCAAGAATTGCAAGATCATGGTCGATCAAAGAAGTCTCTTGTGGGTACTACACTTACTCTTACACCATTAATGTAACCTTTCCACCTTGATATAATAAACTTAGCTAAATATAATGAAAGAGAGAAATATAAATAAATAA